GTGATGTACATAAAAGTTGGAAGCTGAATTAATATCTGGTCGCGTCGTTCTAAACTTATGCAGGCATGCTAGTACTTTTGCTGAAGAAAAAATTTCTCGTATCCAGCCTCAGAATTACCGTTTATAAATATAGGTAAAGTAGCCGGTCGCTTGGGGCAATTGTAATACAAATAAAATTGCAAGCAGGCTACGGTGCCCCGAATTCCTGATGTGAATCCTGCCAAGGACTTCGTATAGACAGCACAGGTAGAAGAAACTCTTTTATTGTATACAGTAACTGTTAAACAATATCGGAAAACAATGGGAATCTTACGCGACCATACGCGTAATGGATTGTCGTAGGCGCTCGGCAGAATTGTGTTCAGCCAGACTTGAAGAGCAGGATTGCCACTTGCCCCGCATAGAAGTAGATAAAATGCTTTGTCTCGTGGGTTACGTAGCTTCCGAAATTCCTTCCAACAACACAGTGCCAGGTTGGACTGTGGCGTTTATCGAACTAGACAAGCCGAGACGTTGAAGACGGTAGAAAGCGAGTAGCATACCTCCTTTTTAATGTAAGCTGCAATATCCTTCTCTATGTTGAATTTTTCGAATGCATGGGTTGCCACATCAATGGCATCCTGTTGCATCTCCTCTGACATATCCACATTTTTGACAACTGCCTTTCGGCTTCCGTCACTCATAGTTCCGAAGGCCGATGAAGCACACCACTGGAGCGAGACAGTTCAAATTATTGTCGATAAATTCCCCTCCCTTTAGTAGCTTGGCCTCAACTCTCTTCTGATTGGTTGGTTTAGTAGCTTGGTTGCAGTAGCTTGGTTGCACTGAGGTGATGGGTGTGTGCGCGCGCGCGCTCGCGCTGCGTTGGTCGTGTCCATGTGATAAACCGCCAGACTCATGGCCGCACGCGTGGTGCCGCCCAAGCTTTGAAACGTGGCTCCAAGCCTCGCGATCTTCTACATTACAGCTTCTTGATTTCTACCTCAGCTGTTGCGGAAGCTCGAGGTTTCATTCACCGATTATGTGATCGAGAGGATTTTGTTGGTTTTTCCCCGGCCCTGAGTATTAGACAGGGGCAAAGCACGCCGCCCCTTCTTAGATTTGGGATGGAAGAGCGTCTCCCGGTTTTTTGAAGTCCATGATGAAAA